TTCTTTCTGTGCATCTGGTACATTTCCCACTCTTGATTCCCTGGTGACTGTGTCTCAACCATGCTGCCCTTGTTCTGCCCTTGTTCTTCCACAAATACGCTAGACATACTCCAAACTCAAAACCTCTTCACTTTGGGTTCCTCTGCCTAAAATACATCTCCCAGAAATTCACATTTCTCCTTCCCTTATTTTGCTTGAGTTTCTGTGGGGAAAATGTCACCTATTCATAGAACACTTCTCACAGCATCATCTCTGTAAAAATACTTCTCTGGCCCCATTCGTTATCTCTTTACCTTGCCTCATTTTCTTTGTAGAACCTATCTCTATTAAGTTTAACAATTACTTTTCTGTCTTTCTGTTCCCTGCTATATCTCTGATGCTAAATCAATGACTGAAATAAAAAAGGTGTTCAATGTTTATTCAAAGATAATTTGATGCATATGAATATATATTAATAGACGTTATAACAGCAATCAAATGGCATGTATATATAGTGGACATTTTTCAAGCCATATTTGGTTTATTTTTAAACATGGCCTCCTTTCAATTACACATTGTCTGGATCTTCCAAGGATAATAGCTTACAAAGTCTGAATAATGGTTTATTTTCTTGCTACAGAGTTGCAAGTAACCTTAGTTCTTTTTTTAACACATCTTTTCTTTAGCTTTTAAGCTAAGGTATTTTTTAATTTGGGTAAAATTTATCATGACAATAAAATTAATCATTTTGTGGTACATAGACACCATGGAATACTACACAGCCATATAAAAGAACAAAATCACAGCCTTTGCAGCAATATGGTTGCAGCTGGAGGCCATTATTGTAAGCAAATTAATAACTGAACAGAAAACCAAATACTACGTGTTCTCACTTAGAAGTGGGAGCTAAACATTGGGTACTCATGGACATAAAGATGGCAACAATAGACACTAGGAACTACTAGAGGCAGGAGAGAGGGAAAGGGAAAGAGCTGAAAAATTACCCATTGGGTACTATGCTCAGTATCTGGGTGATGGGATCAATCTTACCCCAAACCTCAGGATCATGCAATATACCCATCTAACAAGTCTGCACATGCACATGTACACCCTGAAACTAAAAGCTGAAATTATTTAAATAGCCATTTTAAAGTGTAATTAGCTTTATTTAGTATATTCTGCTGTGTGTCATTTAATACATTCACAATTTTGTGCAAATATCACCTCTATCTAGTTTAATATATTTTCATACATCATATTTTTTAAACTATTCAATTTGGAATGATAGGAAACAAATTTGTTATATTACAAATGGTAAAGAAAGAGAAAGAATCAAATATTTATTTCATCATCCCTCTGTAAGCTGTTATACTGAGTAACCAAATAGTGGATGAGGAAAAGTGGCTCCCTTTAAAAGTATTCTGAGTGATAAATCTTTTTAAAAAGAGTATCAGTTTGATATTTCATTGTTTGAAACCCTTGATGAATTAACGAATATAGCCATTGAACATGAACAGTACAAACATCAAAAAAGAAACACAGCCAGGCGTTATGTGTCTTGCAATACAAGAACATACTGCCATCTGTGGCTTTGCCAAAGAGAAAGAATAGAGACTGTCGAAGACTCTGCATTTCGCTGCCAGTTTCCCAGAAACTGCACCATGAGTACGTACTCAATGAAGTCCAGACTGTGGGAAACTCTATAGGTCAAATTCCCTAAGTTCTTCAACAATTGTAAGGAGCACAGTTTGAAGGAAAAACTTGTAGATTAATAGACTTAAAACATATAACAATTATTATTAATGAGCAAGTTCATAGTGTCCTTGGATGAACATTTGGGTGATAAAATTGTAAAGAAAAGCAAGGAAATGATAACTATAGAAGTCACAGTCATAGTTACTTTGGAGAAGGCAGAAGTGTCTGCGACTGTGATGGGGCATACATAGGTACCTAAAGTTTTATTTATTGACCTGAGCAAAAGTTTCGAGAGTGTAATTTGAAAATTGAGTTTCTCAGATAAATACACAAATGGAACAGAATAGAGATCCCAGAAATAATGCTACACACCTACAACCCTCTGATTTTCAACAAAGTGGACAAAAACAAGAAATGTGGAAAGGACTTCTTATTCAATAAATGGTGCTGAGATAACTGGATAGCCATAGAAGATTAAAATGGGATCCCTTCCTTAAACCACATACAAAATTCAACTCAAGATGAATTAAAGACTTAAATGTAAAACCTAAAACTATAAAAACTCTGGAAGATAACCTGGGAAATACCATTCTAGACATAGGACCTGGCAAAGATTTCATGATGAATATAACAATAACAACTGCAACAAAAACAAAAATTGACAAATAGGACCTAATTCAACTAAAGAGCTTCTACACAGTCAAAGAAACTAACAACAAAGTGAACAGACAACATATAGAATGGAATAAAATATTTGCAAAGTATGCATCTGACAAAGGTCTAATATCCAGAATCTATAAGGAACTCAAACAAATTTACAAGCCAAAAACAAACAACCCCATTAATAAGTGGGCAAAAAACATGAACAGACCCTTTTCAAAAGAAGATGTACACACAGCCAACGCATATGAAAAAGTGCTTAACACCACTAATCATTAGAGAAATGCAAATCAAAACCACAATGAAATACCGTCTCATACTAGTCAGAATGGCTATTATAAAAAGTTTAAAAAATAACAGATGCTGGTGAGGTTGTGGAGAAAAGGAACACTTATTCACTGCTGGCGGGAAAGTAAATCAGTTCAGCCATTGTGGAAAGCAGTTTGGCAATTTCTCAAAGACCTTAAAAACATTACCATTTGACCCAGAAATCCCACTATTGAGTGTATACCCAAAGGAATATAAACTGTTCTACTATAAAGAACACGTACGCATGCATACGTTCATTGCAACTCTGTTCTCAATAGCAAAGACATAGAATCAACCTGAATGTCCATCAGTGATATATTGAATAAAAAAAAATATGGTACATATACACCATGGAATACTATACAGCTACATAAAAGAACAAGATTATGTCTTTAGAGCACCATGGATGGAGCCAGAGGCCATTATCCTAAGCAAACTAACACAGGAACAGAAAACCCAATACAGCATGTTTTCACTTAGAAGTGAGAGTTCAACACTGAGTACATGTGGGCACAAAGAAGGGAACACTAGACACCTGGGCCTTTGTGAAGGTGGAAATGGGGAAGAGGATGAGGATCAAGAAAACCACCTACCAGCTACAATATATGTTACCTGAGTGACAAAAATACTCTGTACACAAAACCCCTGTGACATGCAATTTACCTATATAACAAACTTGCACATGTACTCCTGAATCTAAAAGTTAAAAAAAAACAAAAACAAAAACAAGTTTCTCCCTAAGAGCAGAAACAAGACGAAAATGCTAGCTTTCACCACTGAGATTCAACATTGCACCAACATTTCCAGCCAGAGCAATTAGACAGTAGAAATAAAGGCATCTAAATGAGAAAGGAAAAAGTAAATCTATCTCTATTCACAGATGGTATGAACTTACATATAATAAATCCCATAAAATCCACCCACAAAAAAAGCTACTAAAGCTAATGAATGAATTTAGCAAGTTTCAGGGTACAAAATCAAAACACAAAAATCAGTTGTCTTTATATACAGTAGCAATGAACAATCTGAAAAGGAAATCAACAGATCCATTTACAACATCATCCAGAAGAATAAATAGGAATAAATTTAATCGCATAGGTGAAAGACTAGTACAATGAATACTATCAAACATTGCTAAAAGAAATTAAAGAAAACCTAAAGAAATGGAATAGCATCCTGTATTCATGGATTGGAAGGCATAAAATTGTTAAGATGTCGATACTCCCCAAAGCAGTCTACAATCCCTACCAAAATTTCAGTATCATTTTCTTATTTTAGAAATGGAAAAGCCAGTATCAAATTTATATGAAATTGTGAGGGCCTCCAAGTGGGCAAAACAATATTTAAAAAGAAGACTGAAATTAAAAGACTCACACTTCCTGATTTTGAAACTTAACTACGAATCTACACTAATCTAAATAGCATGATATTGGCATAAAGACAGACAAATAGATCAATGGAATAGAATTTTGAGAGTCCAGAAATAAACCCACACATCTACGGCCAATCGATTTTCAGCAAATGTGCCAATATCATTCAATAGAGAAAGAACAATCTCTTTAACAAATTGTTCTGATGCAACTGAATACCCACATGCAAAGAATTAAATTGGACCCACAACTCATATCATATGCAAAAATTAATTCAAAATGAACAAATTATCTAAATATAAGAGTTAAAGCCATAAAACTCTTAGAAGAAAACATAGAGGTAAATCTTTATGGTTTTGGATTGGGCAGTGGATTCTTAGATATAACATTAAAAGCATGAGCTTACTATATAATTCCATTTATGGTAAATATCTAAAATAGGTAAATCTACAGAGACAGAAAGCAAATTAGTGATTACCAATGTCTTGGGGAAGGGTAGAATGTAAAGAAACTGCTTTCTAAAATAAGAGGTTTTGATTTGGAGTAATAGAAACGTTTTGAAACTAGATAGGTAGAGGTGGTGGTTGCCGACATTGTGAATTTACTAAATGCCACTGAATTGTTCACTTTAAAGTGATTTATTTTCTGTTACGTGAACTTCACCTCAATAAATCACTTTTTAAAATGCATTAAGCCAGTAAAACGATAACCTACAATTCCATATATACTTCTTTGCAAACTGTAAAATAGACTGATGTATAAAAGTACTCTCTTGTTGAGAGGAGAGGAAAAATGAGGAGATGTTCATTCTGAAATAGTGACTTTAGACAGAGAAAAGTCAGGTTCCTTTTCTCGCTCATAGTCATTATGGTAATTATTTCAACAAATGAAAAGTTTCCATTTCTCCCCACATATCAAATTCATTCTAACACATTTCCTCTGGCTTAGTGACAACCTGTTTAAACATGTGTTTCTTGCATTTTACAGACACACTTGGCAAGTGCAAGACAAAATCGATGCAAACAATGTGGCTTACACAACCGGGAAGCTAAGCTTTCACACTGATTATCCAGCCCTCCATCATCCACCTGGGGTAAGATGAGCTTCAACATATTTTCCACAAAGCAGGCCAATGACCGATATCTTTTTGTATTTTGAGTCTAGAAGATTACATATTTCACCAGGTAGTTTGTCTTCCATAAATTTTCTTTCTCCAAACACAATCCAAGCTCACAAAATCTCGGTGCCTAAATCCTAAATATCTTCACCTTCCTAAAGGGGAGAATTTCATACATTTAAAACAACAATAACAACAACAACATTTCTTTGTTCTTCCTAGAAATTACTATTAGCGTTTTTTTT